CCAGAGAACAGGAACGCATAGAAGCTCACATAGAGAGAGATAAAAGGATCGCCAGGAATGAAACAATATTAAGAGAACTGTGTGACCAATCCAAAAGGAACTATATCGGTATTATAAGGGTACCAGAAGAAGAAGAGAGAGGAAAAGGGACGGAAAGTATCTTGGAAGAAATAATTGCTGAAAACTCCCCCAAACTGGGGGAGGAAATAATTGAACAGACCAAGATATGCAAACAATGTTAGTATCTCTCTACAAAAGAATGGATATAGAAAATGTGGTCCATACATACAGTAGAATATAATTCAGCCATAACAAAGAAGGAAATTCTGCCATTTGTAACATGGACAGACCTTATGGACACTGCCAAGTGAAGTATGTCAGTCAGAGAAAGGCAAATGCCTTTTGACATCACTTGTGTGTGGAATCTAAAAAAGCAAAATTCATAGAAACAGAGAGTAGAACGGTGGTTGCCAGGGGCTGGGGGAAATGGCAAGATGTGGTCAAAAGAACAAACTTCCAGTAATAAAATGAGTAAATTCTAGGAATCTGACTAACAGCATCGTGACTATAGTTAACAAATATTGTATTACATACTTAAAAGTTGCTGAGAGAGTAAATCGTAAATGTTCTCACCATATAAAAGAATTGTTAATTACATGAGGTGATGGAGGTGTTAACAAAAATACTATGATAATCATATTGCAATATGTTTATCAAATGAACATATTGTACACTTCAAAATTACACAGTGTTATATAAACACACCTCAGATACTGCAGGTTTGGTTCCAGACCACCTCAATAAAGCACATATTGCAAGAAAGCAAATATCACAATAAACCAAATCAAGTACATACAAAAGTTGTTTACACTACTGTAGTCTATAGTGTGTAATAGCATTATCTCCTTAAAAATGCACATACCCTAATACTTTATTGCTAAGAATTATCTGAGCTTACAGTGAGTCATAATCACTGATCACAGATCACTAAACAAACATAATAATAATGAAAAAGTTTGAAATATCATGAGAATCACTGAAATATGATGCAAAGATATAAAGTGAACAAATGCTGTTGGAAAAAATGGCATGAACAGATTTGCCGGAAGCAGGGTTGCCACAAACCTTCAACTTGTAAACAATGCAGTAACTGCTTAGGGCAATAAAGCGAAGCACAATAAAATGAGGTTTGCCTACATGTCAATTATATCTCAATAAAGCTAAAAAAAAAAAAAAAAAAGAACTACCATATGATCCAGCAATCCCATTTCTGGGTATATATCCAAAGAAACTGAAGTCAGTATCTTGAAGATATCTGCACTCCCATGTTCACTGCAGCATTATTCACAACAACTAAGTGATACTGGAAGCAACCTAAATATCCATCAACAGATGACAGATAAAGAAAATGTATTTACAGCTGACCCTTGAACATACGTGTTTGAACTGTGCAGGGCCACAAAAATGTGGACTTTTATCAATAAATATATTGAAAAATCTTTTGGAGATTTGTGACAATGTGGAAAAGACATTTTCTTTCCTCTAGCTTACCTTATTGTTAAGAATACAGTATATAATACATATAAACATACAAAATATGTGCTAATCAACTGTTTATGTTATCAATAAAGCTTCCAGTCAAGAGTAGACTATTAGTTAAGTGTCTCGGGAAGCAAAAGTTACATGTGGATTTTCACCTGCACAGGCAGTCGGTGTCCCTAACCCCATGTTGTTCAAGGTTCAACAGTACAGTACATACAAAAGAATATTATTCAGCCTTAAAGAAATCTTGCCGCTTGCAACGACACAGATGTACCTGGAGGCCATTGTGTTAAGGGAAATAAGCCAGACACAGAAGGACAGACACTACATGATACCACTCATGAGTTATTTAAATAGTCAAACTCACAGAACAGAGAGAATGATGGTTGCGGGGGGAGGGTGCGGGGGCATGGGGAAGTATTATTCAAGGGTATAAAGTTTCAATTATGTAGGATGAATAAGACCTAGAGATCTATTATACAGCATATTGCCTATAGTTAATAATACTGTTCTAAATAATTAAAAATATGCTAAGAGGGTAGATCTTGTCTTGTGTTATCACATATACAAAATAATATTAATAATAATAATATACAAAGAGGAAACTTTCAGAGGTGATGGGTGGTTTTAACTGTGGTGATGGTTTCATGGATAGTCATCTCCAAACCCATCATGTCACATACATTAAATATGTATAGATTTTTATATGTGAATCATACCTCAATAATGTCTTAAAAAAAAACAAATGTATCATAGACCAAATGTAAAAGTCAAAACAATAAAGCCTTTAGAAGAAAACACAGATCTACATAATTTACATGTAGGCTAAGTTTCTTTATACAGGAAGAACTAACCATAATAGAAAAAAATGATAAATTAGACTTTATCAAAATTAAAAACTTCTCTTGATGAAAAGATACAGTAAGAAAATGAATAGGCTTAACAAAGACTAGAAGAAAACACTCATAAAGTATATGTCTGACAAAGGACTGATAACCAAGATAATATAAAAACCACCTAGCTACAACTCCACAAAAAAGACTAAGAACAATTTTTAAATGGCCAAAAATTTTGAAAAGACACTTCAAAAAATAGAATATATGGAAGGTAAATAATCCCACAGAACAGTGCTCAACATCATTAAGCATAAGGGAGATACAAAATAAAAACTGCATCACCACAGGTCTGGCTAAGTACTAATCATACCAAATGTTGGTGTGGGTGTGGAACAACTGGAAAATCTCAACCACTTTCGGAAAAGCTCTAGCACTTTTTTAATAAAACTAATCACATATACTCACCATATTACCTATTAATCCTAATCCTAATCAATTACCCAAGACAAATGAGAACATATTTCGATACAATGACTTATTCAAGAATGTGGGTTTTTTTTTTTTTCAAAATAACCAGAAGCTGGAAACAGCTCAAGTATCCATTAATAGGAGAGTGGATAACCAAATCGTGACATATTCACATATTCACTCAATAGAATATCACTCAGCAATAAAAAGGAACTGATTATTGACACATGCAATAATATAAATGAAACTCAAAAACATAATGCTAGAAGCAGCTTTACACAAAGTACATCATTTATATAGTTATAGAATAGGCAACACTTTGACATAAAAAATCAAGAATACTGGTTGCCTTTGTGTGAGTAGGGAAGGATCTGGTTGGGAAGGAACAGGAGGGAGCCTCCCAGGGTGATGGTAACATTCTCTATCTGGATGGGGTTTGGGTTCTATAGATGTATGAAATTGTTAAAAACTCAGCAATTGTACACTTAAGATTTAGGCCCTCATTGTATGTAAAATTTATATCACAAGAAAAACCTGCAGAAACACTGAACTCTAGTTAACGATATGCATGTTGAAATATTTAGGGGATACGTGCAGATGTCTGCAATTTACATGAAAATGTTAACAGTAAGATTGACAAATGGATAAATAGAGGGTAGATAAATGGATAGATATGTGATAAAACAAGTTAATGTAGAACTGAAGGGGTGGCTATAAAAGTATTTCCTGTATGATTCTTTCAACTTTCTTGTAGGCTTGAAAGTGTTCATAATAAAATACTGGGACAAAGGGAGAGGGTAATAAAAGAGAAATCAAAGAAGGAAGAGACAGCAGAGCATGCTGAGGAGGAGGCATCAGTGAAGGAGGAGGAAAATGAGAATAGTAAGGTATTCCAAGAGCCAGTTAGAGAAGTACTTTCAGAGGAGGGAATGATCAAAATTGTGTAGAATTTTTCTGAAAATTTGAATAATATGAAAGCAGGTCTGCTGGGTATAGCTGAAGGAGGGGCATGAGTGGAGGAGAATAAAGCCACACTGAAATGTATGGAGAGCAAACTGCTGGTAAGGAAGTAGAGTCAGCAAGTAAGAACAACCCCTAAGAAATCTGGCTATGAAGCAGACAGGGCAGTAGCTGAAGAAGGATGTGTGTGGGGTCAAGATAATGGATAATACCAGAGCATGATTATGTGTGGACAGGAATGATCCAGTCGAGCATCAAGGGATGTAGGAGAATCGTGCCCCCCGAAAAGATAAGTTTAAGTCCTAAGCCCCAGTACCTGTATATATGAACTTATATTGGAAATAGGGTCTTTGTGGATGTAATTTAGCTGAAAGAAGGTTATGCTAGATTAGGGTTGGTCCTAATCCAATGACTGGTGCCCTGATAAGAAGAGGATAGAAAAAGAGGAGGAATGTGGACACAGACACAGAGAGACACAGAGAGAACGCCATGTTGAGTGTGGAGGCAGAAACTGAAGTGCACCTACAAACCAAGGGACACCAAGGATTGCCAGTAACTGGGAAGAAAGGATTCTCCCAGAAAGCCTTTACAGAGAGAGCATGGCTCTGCTGAACATGACCATGATTTCAGACTTCTAGCCTCCCAAGCTGTGAGAACAGATGTCTGTCATTTTAAGCCACCAAGTTTACAGCGCCTTGTTACAACAGCTCTAAGAAACTGACACAGAGATTTTAATGATGAAGAGAAATGGGTGATGAGGATGGGGTCATGTCCTTGAGAAGGTGAATAGAACCAACTCCAAGGTACCAGGGGAGGGGTTGGCCTTTGACAGTATTAGGGTCGCCCTCTTCTACAAAGTATAGCATCATTACAGGAAAATTTAAATGAGGAAGGCCTCACCCAGATGCTCTAGAAAATAAAGAATGCTTCAAGCAAACAGCCTTTGTAATAGATTCTCTGTCCTTTTAACTAACACCCAATATGCAGCCTACACATTAAAGTTACTAGTCTTCCTCTAAGCATACAAGAACCAAGCCATAAAACTTAAATACAGCAATTCTCTGCCTCCCAAAAGGAGCTGGAGAACAAAGAGGCAAGTCTTACCAACAGGAATGGAACCAAATGCTCAGCCGATGGTCAAAGCAAAACAACCATATGAAAGGCCTGGTAATCCAAATGTGGCAAGTTTCTTACCTTGAGCTGCTGTTGGAGTTCACTGTTCAACCGGGCCAGCACTGCATTTGCCTCTTTATTTTTGCGGATAGCAGTTTGAATAGCCTTCTTCTGTTTGGAAGACTGTCTACAAAAAAGTACAAACAGTTCTGTGAAATAGAACTTAAGACGTCTGGGCCCTTTTGGGTCAGAACTCTGATTCATAAGAAGAACTAAACTAACAACAGGCTAATGTCACAGGGTTCCAAAAATAAAATCATCTATTTGCAGGCAGACAAGTAGGCAGGCACACACCAAAGGAAACAAATTTGTCAAGATGAATTATTTATACCTGAAGTAATTCCCATTTTATAACTTGAAGAAAAGCTGTGAGTTGGGCCTTTTCAAACACTGTTCCATTTATTCCAACACATTTTAATAAGTATTTATTCCTGACAAACCATATTAGCTGGAATGCCCTTTCTATGTAAGCACTGATGGCATTCAAAAGACCTGCAGGTGGACCCTGTGGACAAGTCTCAAGGAAATGAATAGAACATTCTCTTTGGCAAAATCCTACATTAATTTAGCCAGCCTAGGTAACGCCTGCATTTCTTAATCATTAGGCATGAATGCCTGAGTGTGCGTGAGTGTGTGAGTGCACATATGCATACACCAGCATACATCTGTAGCACTTCAGAAAAACACAGAAATAATTTAATGCCAATATTCCCAAGTTAAGCCAATAGTAGATTCACAGAACAGGTATAACTAAGGTGCCCATATGTCCCACTGTGCCCATTACAGTCTCTACTTACACCAGCCCTAATTATTTTTAGCACCTCCTTTCCACCCTCAAAACTGTCCACAGTTGGGATGATAAATCAGGTGGTTTTATAACCTATATATCCCACAGCAAGAATACTGAATTCTCAAAGCAAAAAGGTGACTTAAGTTCCCCTAGAAAAAGAAACTTATTTGTAATCCTTGGGAGATGGGTTCTAGGCCAAAACAACTAAACTGGAATGCATTGTGACCACTGTAGAGATCTGATAAATATTTACTGAGAATATACACTATGCTAGCCACTCTAACAATCTGTAAATTCCCCAATAAGTTTAGAATTAAATATTGACTTTTTCATCTATAAATAGGTAGAGAAGAGGCTTCAAAATCTACTTTTAAAATGATATAGATTGGATTTCTGGTTTCAGGACAAGATGAAGTAGACCACACTTCTCTCTCTTCCTCCCACTAAGTACAGTTAAAACCTTGGACATAACATATAAAACAAACATATGATGATTCCAAGAAGTGGAGTGAAGAAGCCAAACCAGCTAGAGTTAGTCAGTCTAGAAGGAAACACATAGCAGTGAGTTCCCTAGGTTTTCCTTTTCATTTCAAATATCCAGACTGGATAGTGGAGAAGTTGGCAATACATAAATGCTAATGGGGGTGGGTAAACAAACAAACAAACAAACAAACAAACCCAAAATCCTGTTCTCTCTAGCCAAAGGGTTTGGAAAGGGGCAGCCTAGCAAGACAGAAATTAGATATAATATCCCTCCTGAATACAGATGCAAAATCTTTAATAAAATATTAGCAAACAAAATTCAGCAATATATCAAAAGAATTATACACTATGACCAAGAGGAGTTTATTCCAGGGACGCAAGCTGATTCAATATTCAAACATCAATCAATTATCCACCGTCTTAAGAGATGAAAAAAAGAAAAATCAGATGACAGTATATCAATTGATACAGGAAAAGTACCTGAAAAAACTCAATATCCATTCATGGTAAAAACTCCCAGAAAACTATGAATAGAGGTGAACCACCTCAACTTGTTAAAGAACCTCTACAAAAAATCTACAGCTAACATCATAATTAAAAACAGAATGCTTTCCCCCCAACATTAGGAACAGGGCAAGAATTTCTACTCTCATCACCATTTTCAACATAGTGCTGATAAAGTCCTAGCCAGCACAATGCAAGAAAAAGGGAAAAAAGCACACACATTGAAAAGCAAGAAATAAAAACTATTCCCATTTACAGATGACATGATGGTCTGTGTAGAAAAACCCAAGAATCTATTTTAAAAAAAAAAACCTCCTAGAATAATAAGTGATTTCAGAAGGAAAGAAGTGAGTTTGCAGGACAGAAGATTAACATGCAAAATCAATAGTATTTCAATATACTAAAGATGAACACTTGGAAATCAAAATAAAAATATGCTATCATTACAAAGACTCAAACTGAGATCCTTAGATATATCAAAAAACATGCAGAATTTACATGCTGAAAAATACAACTGAAAATTATAGAAGTGATGAAAGAAAGAAAACAGGATCTAAATAAATGGATAAATATATCATATTCATGGACTGGAAGACTCAACAGAGTAAACAAGTCAACTCTCCCCAGATTGATATAAAAGTTTAATACAATTCCTATCAAAATCCCAACAAGGGCTTTGTAATTCAAGACAATTATTCTAAAATTTACATGGAAAGTCAAAAGAATTAAGTGGCTAAAACAATTTTGAAAACAAAATGTGGGAGAAATAGGAGACTTATTATATAGCTATAGTATCAAGTAATCAAGTAATAAAGACATCAAACATACTGTGTGGTACTGATAGAGGTAAAAACACACAGATCAGTGGAAGAGAACAGAGAGCCCAGGAATACTCACACTAGCACAGCCAACTTATTTCTGATAAAAGTGCAAAGGCAAGTCAAAGAAGAACAGCCTTTTCAACAGTGCTGGAATAACTCAATGTCCACAGGCAAAGAAATGAACCTTGACCTGAATCTCACATCTTAGATTAAAATTAAAACATTATGGATCAACTTAAATATGAAGTGTAAAATTAAGAACTTTTAGAAGAAAACATAAGAGGAAACCTTCAGTACCTAGGGCTTGGCAAAGAGGTTTTCAATGTAACAACAAAAGCACTATCCATAAAAAAAAAATCAGTAAGACTTCATCAAATTTCAAAAACTTTTGCTCTATGGAAGATTCTATTAAGAGGATGAAAAGACTTAAAGCTAAGACTGGGAGAAAATATTTGCAAACCACAGATCTGACTATTGATCTGTATTTAGAATATACACAGAACTCTCCAAACTCAATAGTAGAAAACCAATTCAAAGAGAAAATGGGCCAAGAACATGAAGAGACATGTCGCCAAAGCAGATATATGATGGCAAATACACACATGAAAAGATGTTGAACATCATGAGCCATTAGGGAAATGCAAAGTAAGATCATGATGGGATAGGACTACACACCTATTAGACTAGCTTAAAAAAAAAAGTGACAGTGGAGGATGTGGAGAAACTGAATCCCTCACATACTGCTGCTGGAAATGCAAAATGGTACAGCCATGGTGGAAAACAACTAGGTAGTTTCTTTAAAAACTAAATATAATGTACCATACAACCCGTCACCCTCCTTGACATTTATCCCAGAGAAATTAAAACTTATGTACATACAAGAACCTGTATACACATGCTCACAGCAGCTTTATTTGTAATACTCAACAACTAGACACAACCAAAATTGTCTCTGAACAGGTGAATGGCTAAGCAGACTGTGGTATATCCATGCCACAGAATACTGTTTAGTAGAACTGACTGAGATTCATAACAACTTGGATGGATGTCAAGGGCATTATGCCAAGTGAAAAGACCAAAACTCAAAAGGTCACATGTTGGGTGATTTTTTTATGTGACATTCTCAAAATGACAAAATTATGGTGATGGAAAAGAGACCAGTATTTGCCAGAGATAAGGGATAGTGAGGAGGCAGGCATAGGTATGACTTTTGTACCTTGATTGCAGTGGTGGTTATAAAATTCTACACATGTGATAGAGTGGCACACAACTATACATAGACACTGTCCCAATGTCAGTCTCCCAGTTTTGATATTGTACTCCAGGTTAGGTAAAGCAATCTGGGAGAAACTAGGTGAAAGACACCTGGCACTTCTTTGTACTAATTTTGTAACTTCCTGTGAATCTATAATTATTTCAAAATAAAAAGTTTTTTAAAAAGATGTTGATCAGAACTGGATGCCCCTCCTTAAACTACCACCATGCTATGTATGCCCAGTTTTTTTTAACAGTTTCCCCTTTTCTGGGAATGTCTCCATCCACTTCCCTCTCCTCCACAGGGTCAGGCCCCTGGCAGGCAGTCCTATGTGTCTTAAGAAACCGTCCTCTCTATTTTCACACATGAATGGATGCTGGCCCATGCTAAGCTGACCAGATTCTCTCCCACAGGTATATAGGTTATAGCTAAGAGTTCAGCTCATTCTGGGCCCTGCACAGTGAGAATGAAATCTCTAGAGCTACAGGTGGCTGAGAAGTTTCCATAGATAAAAGTGACAACAACATTCTAAGAAAGTTGAGAGGGAACAGGACCCCGCAAAAGTTTTTAATCCTCTCTTTCGATCCGTTCCTGCCACTACTTTCCACAAGTCAGTCCTACATCCTTTCAATAAAGAATATGGTTTTGCTATCTCAGGTTGCTTGTATTATTTTCAACCAAAGGACCCTAAGTAATGTGAAAATAGTACAAAGCCCAGAATACCTCTCAAGGGTTCAGCAAAGGCATTTAACTTGCCTTATCCTCTTAAGAGTTGCTTCTATAGTTTGTCCCTTCAGGTTCCTCCTAATACTGTTACTCACTGTTCTAGGCTGGACTCTAACTTGTGCCCACTGTGCACCTTTATAAGGAGGAAGATGAAGGAGTAATCATTACACAACCATTATTTTGCCCATTTCTACTGTGCCATTGATTAGAACTGCAACTCTGTGAGACACAGTCCACGCGAGGGTTTGTGGCCGACAACCCTCCAAAACCTGTTCTTGTGTGTCCTTGTTTTCAGCAGCCTATCAGCATCAGCTTGAGCTAGGCACATGGCTTTCCAAGTAGGAACTACATTTCCCTGGCTTCATTGCAGGTAGGTAAAGTCACATGATGCAGTTTGGGCCAAAGGGATCAGAGAGATGTGATGTGTGTCACTTTAGAGTCATACCCTTAAAAGTAACTTGTTTTCTCTCCATTTGTTCCCTCCCCCTTCCCGGGGCCTGCAATGTTAACGTGTTAGTGGTGAGTGATCTTCACCAAATGGATAAAGGCGACCCCCAACAGGGATCCAGAATAAGAAGACAGAAAGTACCTGGGCTCCAGGACAGTACTCTGCTTCTGGTCCACTCACCAACTCATACTTTTACATAACAAAGAAGTCAATTTCTATGTATTTTGAGTGACTGTTACCTAGTTTTTGTTCAAACAGCTGAACTAGTATTTGAAAGAATATAAACTGGGGTCTCTAGATTAGAAAAATCTTAGCCTTCATTCTGGGCCCTAATTTCGCTCAAGGAATTATGAGTTCAGCTTCTAAAAACTGAACTTAAATGCCTTTTCTCTACCTGGAAATGTTAGATTTTCACTGGGGATGCTAACCATCAACTCTACAGACATTCCGGTACTGCTGAACATGAGGGGGGAAAGGAAACTATCCCCAACCACACTGAGAACACCATGCAGGCATGCAGATACTGACGACCTGGCTCACAGGCATGCTCAGGGGCAGTCCAGGCCACCTCCTGGGGTTACAGAGAAGAGCAGAGGACACAAAGGCTGGCACAGGTTTAGTCATAATAATGTCACATGACACCACAAACCACTCAAGTTGGTCTATTTTCCCAAAGTCCATCATCCTAAGCAAATACAAAAGATGTGGGGGGAAACCAACTAAGCCAAATTATTTCAAGAAAAAACCATTTTTATCCTTACGGGCAGCTCATTAATGATGACATGATCTGAGAGCTGTTTATTACTTATAACCTGGACTCAGCAGCTCACCTGGAGAGAACATTTTATTAGTTCCCTTACCCTAAATGGAGTAGGCAATGATATCTGAAGGAGAATTTATTTCTTCTAACAGGTCAGTTCTGATGTTCACTTCCCAAAAAGCTGATGGCCACTTTGCAACTAGTCTGTTTTTTAGTCTTTCTCAACCAGTGTTCTGTTAAAAAATTAAGAAAATGATTTGTGACTCCTTTCTTAATTTCCTCAAAGATAATACACAGTAAAGACCACTCTTGATATGTGGGCGAGAAGTTAACTTACTATAGATGATGGATGTCTAAGGGTATCTGAGCTTAATTCTTTCCTAAAACCCTGACTGAGAAAGGACTATAGAGACTAATCATTGTACATCTGGCTGTTTCTCTCTCCAGTACTTTAAAAATTATGAATGCTAAGTCACTTCTTATCACTCTGAAATAAACTGGTCTGGGAACTAAGTTGCATGACATTCTCTGACCCCAGAGCTTAGATCCCTGCCATTTATAGCACTATTTGTGTTTCTGGTAGACACTGGCCTCTCTCAGCCTGACACCATGTGGTCACCTAACTAGAGAGTATCATGGTGAAGAATAGTCACTGAACAGGCAGAAAAAGGAAATACCTCCCTTCAACAATGGGCTGGCACATTGGATATCCACATGCAAAAGAATGAAGTTGGACCCCTTTTTCACACTATACACAAAAATGAACTCAAAACTGACCACAGGTTTCAGTGTAAGATCTAAAATCATAAAACTTTTCAAGGCAAACACAGGAACAAATCTTCATGAACTTGAGTTAGGCAAAGGTTTCCTAGACATGACACCAAAGCACAAATGACAAAAGAAAAAGATAAATTGGATTTAATCAAAATTAACAACTTTTGTGCTACAAATAGAAATAATATGAAGAAAGTTAAAAGACAACCTACAGAATGGGAGAAAATATTTGCAAATCATATACCTGACAGAAGACTTATATCCAGAATATGTAAAGAACTCTTGATTCAAAAATAAAAAGATAAATGATCCATGTAAAAATAGGCAAAGGATATGAGTAGACATTTCTCCATAGAAAATATACAGATGGCAAATAAGCACACAAAAGTTGTTTAAGATCATTAGTCATTAGGGAAATGCAAACCAAAACCACAAAGAGATACCCCTTCACAATCACCAGGATGCCTTTAATAATTAAAAAACCAGATTAATAAGTTAACAGATAGTAACAAGTGTTGTCAAGGAACTGGATAAATTGGAACCCTCATACAATACTGGCAGAATTATAAAATGCTATAGGCACTGTGGAAAAAAGTTTGGCAGGTCTTCAAAATATTACAGACTTACTGTATGACCCAGCAGTTCCTCTCACAGGTATATCCTTTTGATATAATGAGTTATAAGAAATATGTATTTGGTCATTCAGATGACAAAAGTATATTTCTCAGATATATTTGGTCTTCATCCACAGTTCCTAAAATGCTTCAGAGCCATAAAGGTGAAATGGGTGTCTTGTTCTGTTACTTGAGTCTTTGGGGCCCCACCCAAGGGTAGGGGCTGGTTGCCAGGGGGACCAACGATCCGATTAGAAGGTGGGCACACTCAGCCCCTAGTCCCCAACTCCTGGGAGGAGAGAGGGCAGAAGGGCAGAGAGACTGGAGGTTCAATCAGCCAACAGCCAATGACTTCGACAATCATGACTATGCAATGAAGCCCTCACAAAAACCAGAGAGGAGCATTTTGCTCTTTTGCATCCTGCTTCTCTGTTGGAAAGAGAGTTTCCATGTGCCACCAAAGCAGACTCCAAGCTCCATGAGAACACCAGTTCCTTTATTTGGGACCTTGACCTATGGATGTCTTCAACTGGCTGTTAACTTGTATCCTTTATTAAGCTGGTAAATGTATTCTCCTGAGTTCTGTGAGCCACTCTAGCAAATTAATCAAAACTAAGGGGGGGGGGAGGCTGTTGGAACCTCCAATCTGTAGCTGGTGGGTCAGAAGCATAGGTGACCACCTGAGGCTTACAATCGGTATCTGCAGTAGGGGGTGGAGGGCAGTTTGGATTAGGCAACTTGAAAGGAATACTCGAGACAAATGAAAACATAAGTCTAAGCAAAAACTTACACACAAATAGTATAGCAGTATTACACTTAGTAGCTAAAAGTGGGAACAACCCAAATGTCCATCAACTAATGAATGCATGAATAAAATGTGGTCTGTCCATACAGTGGGATATTATTCAGTAATAAAAAAGATTAAGTTGGGATTCATGCCACAATGTAGATGAACCATGAAATCATTATACTAAATGAAAGAAGCCAAACACAAAAGGCCACATGTTGCATGATTCCATTTACATGAAATGGCCAGAACAGGGAAATCTATAAAGACATCAAGTAGATTAGTGGTTGCCTGGGGCTGGGGGGAAGGAGAAAAGCAAAATGACTACAACTGGGCACAGAATTTCACTCTGCAGTGATGAAAATGTTCTAAAATTAGATTCTGATAATGGCTATACAACTCTGACTATAAACCACTGAACTGTGTACTTGAGGGAAAACTTTATGCTATGTGAATTACATCTCAATAAGGCTATAAAAACAGAAAAACAGACAAAGAAAATAAAATGAAAAAGATCTCTGGGAACTCCACCAGCTGCCCTGCCAACCACTCTAGAGGATGTTGTAGCCACAACTGCCTAGCATTAAAGTGAAGTGGAGATTAAAGTGCAAAGCTGGGGTGAAGCATGGAAGAAAATTTAGCCATCTTTGTCCCTGACAGGGATCTGTCCCCTATGCTCGAGAGTAGCTGGAAGATGGTCAGTTCTTGGTGACCATTAAAGACAAAATACAGCTCCTTTTACACTGACACCACCAGAGAACTGCCCATCTGGAAAAACAAAAACCATCATCTGAAGAGAAGCACTGCATGGATTCAGAATGTGACTTTGGCTTCAAAGGCAAATCGCACCCACAGAACCTGCTGCTTCTCTTTCTGTAACAGTGTAAGCAAGAGAAAATTGGCAGCAGCCTGAAATCTGCAGGGCCTCTAGGACAGTGTCAGGGCATATCTTGAGCATTTACATTAGTGGGCAGTCAGGCTCACTTGAAGTCACGCACAACAGCAGGTCTGTCCTCTGCGCCTCTCTCAGTTTACCTACAGGGCAACTTGGTCAGCTCTCCTTAAAGCCAAAGCCTTTTGGGAAAGGATGGTTTGTTCAGAGCAGTGTTCTCGTGTTCACAGGTGTCCCTACCCTCCACCCGCTGTCTGGTACATATGGTCAGACAGATACCTGTAGGTTCTACATGTGACCATTCTGTACTGATGACCAACAACAGAAACCCTTTATGGGGATAAAAGAGGAATCACACACCATGTCACTGAGAGTGGGTCTGAGCGGCCAGCCACGTGCCCCAAGGAACATGAGACAAGACAGGCGAAGAGGAAGAACTACCATTTATATGACTGTTTTCCTCCTAGGGAAATGTGGGCCAGCACAAGGAAGAGGGGCAGGAAGGAAAGAGGGGGAAGGGAAAGAAATCAAACCAAACCGAAACACTCCACAGCCTTGTACTCGCTTGCCCCCTGGGTCAGGTGAAGTCTGTAGTTTAGAAAGCCTCTTTCTATGTTACTTGGGAGACTGTAATCCCATCATAGAGGTGAGTAAGGTAAGACTACAACCATAAAAATCACACCCTCCTAAGGATAGGAGTATAACTGTAAACATATTTACTTATATATATATATGACAATTTAAAGGGAAATTTCTGACCTTGCTCTCATTTATCTGTTCTACTTACTTTTGGACTGTTGGATGGGGTTTCACAGTTGCTGCAGAAGCTGTCCCACCAACAGTGGTGGAAGGTTCTTGGTTTTCTGCAGCTTGATTTTCAGGTCGAAATTTCCTACGGATAGGCTTTGATGGGGGTTGAGAATATGGTATGTCCTGCAGATTAAAAAAAGAAAAAAACACAAAAAAGTTAAAAGATGAAATGCTCCCCCGTATCATGCCAAGGTCCCATGTTCCTCCAGGTCCAGCCCCAAGGTCAGATGTGTGCTCTATTCAAACTCCACACCTGAGAATATGTAACTGATTCATGGCTGAGCAAGAACTGGAGGGACATAAGATTCCAATAGCCCTTCTTTCTGTCTCCCCTCCCCCCTTTTCATGCTTGCAGTCTATTACCTCTTTTTGTTACCTAGAAGGACACAGGAGTCATATTCCAGTGACCCACTTGCCACTTGCCCCCTCCCTTCCTTCCTCTCTTTTTAAAATACTGTGTGCCCCTCACACCACGGCACCTTCTCTAACTGAAGACAAAATTCCTTCATGCCTCATTTGGGGCTTTTTGGAATATAGCTGTAGTTTCAAAGTTTGTAAAAATCTCAGTCCTATGCTCATCATTCTCCTGCCCCCAATTCCTACATGAAGTCAAGCTCAAGTGCCATAGTGTCTTCTGGAAGGAGGCAGTTGGCCTGCTTCCTTGGAGACTCCTACGTCACCTGTGCTCCCAAGCCCAGGGCCTGCTCTCTGACAGAAGGGCCTGAGAAAATGGGGAAGGACAACAGGAAGACAGGAAGCTCAATGCAGAGCACCATGAGTGAGTGGTACATATGGAGCAAACGGCCCATGGCTCGGTGACACGGGCTGGCTAAGATGAACACACCAGGATACAACAAGGGACCATGGTTCAAACATGAAAAAGGGGAGACTACCCCACCCCCAAGAGGCTCGCCTGGTGTTTTAGCAGTTTGCACAGTTCTGCTGAAGGCATCTGTCCCTCCCCACAGCACCTCCTGATCTTGCCAAAAGCAAGGCTGTCACAGCTGAGAGGTTGAAGAGAGAAGTACAAACTGTCAGTGACATCAAGGTCAAGCCCAGGAGTCACCAGGACCCTAATCTTCACAAAAAACCCAAATTCTGGGAAATCTGGATCATTAACAGGCACATGAGGACATGAAAACCTTACAACAGTAGATGTGCTAACAGGCAAGAAGCCCGTGAAGGAGGGGGCCGGGGGTGAGGGGGGTACTCACACTGCCACCACAGTAGCACCCTCAGGTTGGCCTTACCTTCTTTGTTGGACTACTTTCTGCAGCCTGAGAGGGAGCTCTGTTCAGCTGGGAGTGTAACTCTGCCTCAGACGCTTGTTCAGACTGCAGCAAAAGATCACAGGAGGATAAAAACGCAAAAACATAACCACTTCAATATATAATGAAGAGCACTTAGGAAAACAGCTATTAATTGATTTAGATCAAGTTGCAGCCAAGCACAGTCAGGTCTTGCTTTTCCTGCAATTCCCTCGCATCCTTCCTTCCAGCGTTGTTCAGCTTTAGGAAGAGGAGTCACGGGAATGTCTTCTATAATCAGACATATGCATATTGCTAAAAACCAATGCTTTACAAGCTCACACTAAAAATAACAAAAAAGTAAAAATTTTAACCTGAGTGCTAAAAAGAAAAAAAGCAACCATAAGAAAAAGTACTGAATTAAAAAATACATATATATTCAATTCCTAATAAAGAAATTCTAGTAGATAAGAGTCTCTACCATTAAAAAGGTGAGGGCCAGAGAATACAATGGAAGAAGTGAACAGAAGGGTGGAGGCTGCTGAATGGTTTGGGATTAATGAGTAACTGCAGAAAGGCTGGCGAGGACTGCTCCCCCAAAGCGCTCCGAAACAGAGCCAGGGCCACACAGCCTAGCAGAAGAGCACAGGAAGACCGGGTATCATGGGAGACTCCCTTTCTCCCCAGGCTGACTACAGTCAGCTGTGCTAGAGTGCTTTGCTCCCAGCTGCTAGCCAGCCACGCGAATGTTACATGCAGAGAAAGACCCCTCCATAGGAACAACGGGACTTACTTAAGTGTTATGCTGACATCAGTCCTGCACTTCCCCACTACCTAATCTGCATTCCAGAAACACACACTGCAGCACAACGAACAGCTACCAGGTGGGCCCACTTTGTCCCTGACCTGGCTCTCGCTAACCTCTCAAAGAGCATGTTTTCTTCCTTCCTCTGACTCCACTGAAATAGCTTCTCACCGAGGGCACCAATGCGCTCCCCTTTATGGGTTCTACCTGCCTCTTCCAGGCTTCACGTAGACATTCCTCTGCTCAGCATGGCACCCCTGACTACCTTTCCAAACTTTCTATCCCTGGCATCTGACGAGCCACTGTATCTCACTGGTAATCGTCATCTCTGTCCTGTTTTGACTCCTCTGTCCCCAGAGGTTGGATTTCTCAAGTTTCTGTCTTCAGTACTTCTGACCCCCGTCCAACCCCCTCCTACCCTACTCCCACCCCCATTCATTCTTTCCCAGAGTAATCCCGTCTGCTCCTACATTTTCACTCGCCTAGCTAGAAACCCTGGTTCGCAATCAACTCCCTACCTCTTCCAAACCAATTATGTAGGCACTCTGCATGCCTGATTTCTAGTTCCAAGATTTTCTTAAGAGCTTTCTCCTTCCCATTAATGTTAACTGTATTATTATTATTCTAAGTATTATTAACAGATACTAGGAAACACTAAACACTATGTGTCACACATCACTGTAGACATTCTGCATGGATTACTGTACTACATTATCACAGTCCTGGGAAGTAGTTATTATCCCCATCTCATTAGTGAAGAAACTGAGGATCAAAAAGTTAAGAAACTCACCCAAGACCACACAAACAGTAGGGTCAGAACCCAGGCTTCATGTCCCAACACTGGGCTTGTTGGTCACTATGCCTCAGGTACTTTTGGATCGGAGTGTTATTCATTCAAGCAATACTTACTGAACAGCTTCTGCAGGCAGGCCCTGTGCTAGATCTGGCATTCAGGGATGAACAGGACCCTTGAAGTCCAATGGGAGATGCAGAGAAATGACCAGGCAAATAGCTTCAGAGGAATTTGGGCTATGGTGAGAGAGTATGGGGGCTCCAGGAGGACCTAAGCCTTGTGGGTCAGCAAGGACTCAGGTGAAGCTGATGGCCCAGCAGAGTCCTAATGATAAGCAGGTGCAGCTAGCTAGAAAGGCTGTGCTCGGATGTAAGAAAGGAGGGTCTGGCACCCAGAACGCCAGCTTGGGGTACCAGGAAAACAACAGGGCCTGTCCCAGAAAGGAACCATGGGTGAAGCAGTTGTGAGGCACGCCCACTCTTAGGCACCCTGAGCTTGAAGCACCTGGGAAGCACCGAATCAAAACTGTGGAGGAGCCACACAACTGCTGGGAGTTTCGGGAATGCAAGTGCTCACCTGCACCCTGTGAGCTCTGACAAATGGCGCCATATGGCAAGATCCACAAGCGTACTTTCAGCTTGTTATTAACAGCTGAGAGCCCCATAATGCCCTGAATGTAGGGCTTCCCCTGAGCTGTGCTGGAGCACACAACTTGGACCGGAGACCCCTTCTTGCCTTCTACACGCAAATCTATTGCTTGTAACCCATTTGTTCTGGTCCCAAGTCTATGTGTGCGGCCCCCTGCAGAGCCCACAGGTGTGCACTGACACAGACCACCAGCCAGGTAGGGAAAAAAAGGAGTGGCAGACAAGTCCTTTGTCTTTCAACTGGTCAGTCCCTGTCTTGCCAATGGGTTTCAGCCCCAGGCAAGTTCGCTATGGATTCAGTGTGACCAAAGAAAATGACAGTAAAACATTCTTGGGGTGAAAGGGTTATACCCAACTTTATTTCCAGATGGCAGGTCAGTCACTAGAATTCTGCTCACTCAGAGCGAGTCTGCAGGCAGCAAGCCAGTCTCTGCCTCTGGGCCCCTCTGTCCCGCACAGCCATCCTCTGGGCCTCTCTGCACAGTCGTCCCGCACAGGCGTCCTCTGGGCCTCTGTCCTCGGCACTGCCACCACTCCAGCCTCTGCTCTGCTCTCCTGCAGCCTTGCAGCCCTGCCACCATGTCGCGTGCAGAGCACTGGGTGGAGCTCTTTTTATAGAGTCAATAGCCATGTATTGCCCACAGGTGTGCAAGTGAGCTAGTCAACCAGGGCCCAGTGAGAATCCTGGCCACAGGAACTCTCATCTTATCCACAGTCCCCTTCACCACCAAGCAGACAGAAAGAATGCGGCCTTTTTGGGGAGATGTGTGAAGTCACGTTCTTGTGCGCATACCGAGGGAAATGATACATTGGACCCTTTTTTCAACAAAAACGAAGATTCTGAGAAACAGTACTACAGCATCTTTGTGAGCGCCTCTGTTTTCTCTTAAACCTCTCTAAAAGGCTCAGAAGGATGAGGAAGCAGTTGTCAGGCATGTCTGCAAAGGTTTTTAAATTCACAAATTTACCTTTCTGAAACTGTTTCCGAGCGCCCGTGTTTTCTAGCTCTATGACTAGTAATAAACAACTCCTCGGCGTTATGCCAGGTTGAATCTAACCATCAATCCTCTTAGGAGGAAACTCAAGACCCCCTGATCCCTTTCTACTGCTCTACAACCAATTGTAAATGTGCCCAACTCTTGAACATTCAGGGTAGCCCATCTCAGGAGAGGCCAGGAACACAGTAATCAGGAAGTTCTGAAAAGGCACCTCTTCCCCAGGGCCAGGAATTATCCCAGGAAAAGGGATGGGGAAAGAAACCCAGCTTTACGATAAACACTCAGGATGAGATTTAGAGATGCAAAAGCCCCTCTTCACAATAAACTATTTCAGTTTTCTTCTGGAAAACAGCCTGAGACTTACATCAGGCTTAGCAGCTGGAAAGCAGAACCAGAGAGATTTCTTAGCTTTTCAGACTTTTCTAAGTTAACAATTTGGGGAGAATGATAACCCATGAAAACAAGGGGGGGTCACAGTGGCTCCTTTTTTTCCTCCATATATTAGAGAAAGAGGGATGAACTCTACTACCAATATGAACAATATGCCCTTGTATGAGTTTTGGTTGTCTGAATTGAAATCCAATGCCTGAATCTTATGAAAGGGGTATTTGGATTACAATTAATATGGCAAATGGCAGTCCTTCCCTCATGACCCCATATATAACAACATGTACCCAGCCAGGATGTGATTAGCCAGGAAAATGTACTTTTAGCCAAGAGCCCACTGAAATTCTAGCAAAGATTCCTTTTAAAAATATGTATCTCATTGTAATATTAATATTCCTCTACTCACAAGTGATAAATATTATTTTCATTCTGATTTTGCAACAAAAAGCCTGGATAGATTACATGTACTGGGAAGGTACTGCTACTCAGGATGTAGAGAACAATTCTAGGGCTTTGCCCATTCCTGTAGTTGATGGGACAATATGGCCCCTGCTCAGTTGGCTCCCCAGAAATGGACATAGGCTCAGGGAAGCTAAGCATTTCGATACTCCACCAGAAGAAGGGTCCATTCAGTTATTCAACTATACAGATAGTTATTTCATACATCTAATGTATCTCTTTGCAAGAATCCTCATCTCAGGTTCTGCTTTTAGGGAACTGGCCCTGAGATACCAGGCAAAGAGCCCCCAAAAGAGATGAGTTAAAGCACTCAAGTATGCTCCTCCTTGGTCCATCTGGATCACTGGCTTTGGGGGAGGCCAGGTGCCATACTGTGAGAACAGTCAAGCAGTTCTAACAAGGGTGCTGTGGAGCAAGAAGTGAGGCCTCCTGCCAACAGCCATCTTGGAAGTGGACCCTCCAGCCTCCACCAAGCCTTCAGATGACTGCAGCAATGACTGACATCTTGACTGCAGCCTAATGAAAGACCCTGAGCCAGAACCACCGAGATTACTGTGAACTAGAGTGGTTTCTCTTTTCCCAACCAGACAATACCTGATACATCCATGTTGAGGATTTGCGGGTTATCCTGAAGGCCACAGGGACCACTGCAGGATTTTGAGTAGAGAGGTGATCTAGCTAGATTTTCTTTTTAGAAAGATTATTTGGAATCCAGTGAGTAAAACAGATTGGAAGCAAACCATGCTGGGGGAAGGGAAGTCAAAAGGCCAAAGAAAAAAGATAAGAAATAGTCATTTAAATCAATCTGGTGGGAATGGGGATAAGCAGATCTGAGAGCTATTTGACTAGAGACTTGATCTATCCACAGTGATTGATGGGATGTGGAAAGTAAAAGGAAAGAAAAATGACCCATGGAAACCAAGTTTCAGTCTTGGACAATGGGTGAACAGTTGAAAGAAAAAATGGTTTAAAGCAAGAGGAAAGAAACAGCAGCATAG